ATTTAAACATGCAAGGCCATTATGCATTTATAAAGACATACACTCTTCTGTCTTTGCTGTATAGCTTATAATAAAAAGTAAGTAAAACAGCTATGAGCCTTATGTAATTTTTTGAAGTATAAATAGCCAAAGTTCCAAAAATGTTTTTCTTCCCATTTGTATTGCGGGAGTCCAAATAAGACAGGGCGTTGGTGTAATGTTTACCTTTTCCAAAGAAATCACCCAGAGGACAGATTGGCAAAGACATAGGTTTATTACTACTTACAGGAGGGACCAATGGTGACAAGTCAGGAAAAAACTCTCCACACCCCAATAGATAGATGTAGGGAGAAATTAAATATCTCCAGCATGGGAAAGGGAGCAAGACACAAACAACAGCATTAAGTGCAAAGAAGCAAGAACAAAGATGTTTGCTTTTTTAGCAACTGCCTTGAGTACATGGGTGTGCATATTTCCAAGGGCACTTTGACCAGGTGCAGATGACCTTGGCCAGGGGCCATCTTCCTGGTTGAAGAACAGTCATCAGCAGGGGAGGTGGAACTGGTCACATGTCTTGCATTTACCCCACACAATTTATACCATCAGAGTAAGTTATAACAGACATTTGGACTCAAGAAGAATTTTTGCAAATGAATTGAATCCCTAGCTTCCTTGACTTTCACACATATGGAAAGAAGTTTAAACAAAGGATCTATATTCTAAGATATATCTGTACGTTATATATTATATTACATTAATATATGTGCATGTACATAAGAATTAAATGGAGAAAGCAAATTTGAGAACCATGAGGAATAATATAACTGTGGTGTTTAAACATAAAGTTGGTTCTGAGTTTTCTTGAGTCAAGCAAAAAGGAAAACATAGCTTTGTGTCTCTTAGGGTAATGACTACCAGATACTAAGCCCACTGCCTCCTGTTCACTGTCTTAAAAATTTACATTTTAAAATTTCAATTATTTTACACAGTACTCTTTAAGATAGATATTATTCCTCATTTAACACACGAGGAAACTGAGTCTTGGAAGGACAAAATCACCAAATTCACATAACCAGAAAGTGGTAGAACCAGGGTTCAACACCAAGAGCTGTCTACACACTAAATGCATTTTTTTCTACCTCCTCTGGTGGTGGGGAGACAAATCAAATTCCTGTTTTCCTCGCTGTAAATTACAAATGAAATTTCTCCACAGAGCTTTATAAATATAGGTGAATTCTACCCAAATTTGGAAAAGGGGAGAGAGAGAAAGAAGAGAGAGGAGAGGAGAGGAGAGGAGAGGAGAGGAGAGGAGAGGAGAGGATTTGCCTTTTTATTATTGGGTTGTAAGAATTCTTTATGTATTCTAGATACAAGTTTCTTATCAGATATGTGATTTGCAAATATATGCACTCATCTGTAAGTTGTACTTTTGTTTTCTTTTTTCTTTTTTTTTTTTTTTTTTGAGTTCGAGTCTCACTCTGTCACCCAGACTGGAGTGCAGTGGCCGCTCCCGGCCACTGCAGCCTGA